TAGCACTGAACAAATCGAAACTGACTCGTAAGTATTATTCATTAATTGAAATAGGAGTCGGATTTTTACGTCAAAACTAGTGCTATGGGGCTAGTTGTGTACGGACCCATGCACTTTTTACTGGAATGAGCTTGAAGCTTAATAGGCGCATCTCTCTCTCTCTCTCGCTCTTTTTTTTTTTTTAAAACGTCGGTCGTAATGAAGAACGGTTGATTTCTTTCTTATTCACAAGGAAACATTCTTGATTCATTGTTTCAATCCATATTCCATTATGTAAATAATTTTACTCTTACACATCTTAACAAGGGATTCGAGCCGGGCATTTGATTGGACTCTTTGTTTCCAAATTTTCATCTGGATAACAAAGCGCATTGCACGATGATCTAATTATTATCTTTAATTTTTCTTAGTGTGGTGAATGATGGTGTTATTGTTATTTGTTGTTGTTATTGTCGTAATAGATTAAATGAAATTTGGAGTTTTCCTTCTTCCTTACCTTCTTTCTTTTTTTATTGGGAACGATTAAACCTGTATAAATTCAGCATCATAAATAAAACAATATATAAATTTAAGCAAAAGTTTTCAGACTGGAAGATGTGACTTTCATCTGCTGTTACCCTGTCATTGATAATGGCAATTGATATATTTATTACTGATTTTTTAAAATGGATGCAACATGTTCAAGTAGAATGTATAACACTATATTATATATTAAATGTGGAACAATTGCTCACCGTTAGACGACAGACAACAGTAAGCAGACGTACAGAGGTATGACGGCTAAACGTCTTCAGAGTGTATGATGAGATGCTTCCAGTATGCTTCACAATGACATTACACCGACCGAATCCTGGCCAAAGTCAAAACTTGACACATGTTCTTGTCAACTAATTTTATGTAGCTTTAATTAAAAAAAAAGATTGATACCAGAAAGCGTGTCATAACTAAAATATTTTGCATCAAGTAAAATTTAATCTCTCAACATCCAGAGTCGTAAACTTTGTCAAAAGCCTGTATCTGACGATAGATTTGGCCCATCCTATGGGTTATCGTAAAACCGTGTCGGCAGATGAATTGTTTGAAGAGACGAGAAGATATAACCATGACGCAACAAAGGTGAATATAAAAAAATACAAAGGTGAGCAGAGGGAATAGACGACAGGCGAGTTGCAAAACAGGCATCAAGTAGTAGACAATATTATCGACATACTTTCTCTCGTTTTCCAATTGAGCGCTGAGGCACAATACAGTTCTGTTAAGCCTATTGATCTCTTCGAGAAGAAAATTCTCCCTTGATCTCAGTTTTTTAACGTGATGCGCGGCTAAAAGTTTCAATGAATAGATACGGAGCCATATGTAAAGCGTGAGCATCAGAGTAGTAACCACCAACCATATCGATGTACAAATGATATACGTGTACACAGAATCAACACTTACTTTTTTGCAATAAAGTGGCTTTACTCATTCTCCTTCCATTATTACTATACGCAAATGGCACTTGTCGACGTAATTCTTCAAAGCCGTCTTTGATTACAGCAGCGTGTCTTTGCGGAGTAGCAAGTTGACGACGACGAGCGTCTGTGTGTGACATTGATACTGGAAATATTAGAACGAATTTTCGATAAATAAAATCGTGGAGAGAGTAATTCCGCCGCTGCTACACGTAAATTTATACAGATGATGTCATATCATGTGACATTGATTTTATTAACTGCAAAAAAAAACTTTGATTTTAAATCTTCATAACGAATTGGTGTTAATCACATTATTTATCTATTAAATGCATATTTTGCGAATTGACTTGCGGGAAAACCTGCCATGCTCTTTGGTAAAACTTCTTCCAAATCAAACTCTTAAGCGCGTCAGTTAAGGTTGACTGACGTGGTAGCGGCTTTTGTATACTTTGGTATCGCAGCATATGACGCACACAAAACTATAAATTCTTTTATCAGTAATAAATATTATAGCAACCTTCTCTTTGGTGAGACAAAGTCATTCGTTTTCGGAGAATTATATAAAAAAAACTATAAAAAAGCTATCGCAGCGTTTTGTTTGCGTGTGAAACATTGTAAAAGAAAACCACGGTATAAAAAAAACGAACACAAAAAAAGAACAAACAACAACACACATACACGGTCTCGACTGTATATTTTGATAAAGTTTAAAATTTGTAGAAATGACTGCCGGTTAATAGTATCATTTGACACCTGTTAATAATGCTTCATGAAAGCGAGCCAGCTACTTTAGACATAAGGTTAGCAGCTGCTATCATTGAGTTGTTACTTCAAGCATAGTGTTTTATTCACGCTTAAAACTTGACAGACGATAATAGAGCCTGTGCTTGCGTTTCTCAATTATATGATTTTTTTCGTGTGTTTAGCGTATAACAAAAATAGTTAAATATTTATCGTATGGTTTAACCACCCAATTCGGACACCGAGTCACAAAACATTTAAAACAAAACGCAAGTTTTTATATGTGTTAATATAATTTATTTATTAACATTATTACTGTAATCTATTTTCTGATAAAATCAAAGTGCTCTCGCCAAACTTGTGGAACAATGGGTCATATCTGCAAAGCAAATTTACATAAAGTAATGACCAACCGAAAGATTTATGCGGGCGCAGCATAAGCACACGTCATTGTTACCGGAAACTTTGGCAAGCTAAACGCATAACATATGTCGTATAACAATTTCGAAAATTTAAAAAAAGTTATAATTACTAGAAAATATATGTCAAATTTAATAGCCTAACCATGCAAACAGTCTGGATTAATTTAAGTAATGTAATCAGGATAAATGTATGGCAAAACGACGTAGAAACCCTCGATGCAATCTAATTTTAGCTTTATGGAATTACGTTACGAGCCTTGTATCGAAAAAAAAAAAGGCATAAGACTACTATTAAATAACCAACATTTTAAAAAGCGGTTTACATTTATTTTCATTTACCAATTGTATACATTAACTTGCATCAGCTTTTTCTGTTACATGCTACATCTTATTTCAGCATGTACATTATTGAGTATAGCATAACTATAACTTAAACAATACTACCATTAGTACTAGTACTAGTTGTTCTTTTCGGAAGTAAATTTTTAATAAAATTTTTTACGCTCTTTCTCTTACTATAATAGTTTTCAAGGTAGTTCTGTGCATCAGCATAATCTTGCTCAGCTGCTTTTTGATATAATTCAAGTGCTACTTGAATGTTTTTTTTCACACCCCTTCCGTTCAAATGGCAACAACCAAGACTATATTGTGCGCCAGCATGCCCTTTTTGAGCTGCCTTTTGATATTGTTCAACAGCTTTTTTAAAGTTTTTGTCTGTTCCAATTCCATCTTCATAGCAATGTCCAAGCTTATATTGTGCCCCGGCATGCCCTTTTGCAGCTGCTTTGTCATATGATTCAAATGCCTTTTCTGGATTGTTTTCTACATCAATCCCATCTCCATATTCATAGCAATAACCAAGCCTATATTGTGCATCAGCATGCTCTTTTCTAGCTGCTTTGTTATATAATTCAATTGCCTTTACCATATCTTTTTCTACACCAATTCCATCTTCATGGCAACAACCAAGACTATATTGTGCAGGTGCAAAGTTTTGTTCAGCTGCCTTTTGATATAATTTAATTGCCTGTGCAATATTTTTTCCCATTCCAATTCCAGTTTCATTGCAACAACCTAGATTATGCTGTGCAGGAGCAAAATTTTGTTCAGCTGCCTTTTGATATAATTTAATTGCCTTTTCAATATTTTTTACTTTGCCAATGCCATCTTCATAGCAGCAACCAAGACTGTATTGTGCAGCTGCATGTCCTTGTAAAACTGCTTTCTCATACAATTCAATTGCTTTCTGAACATCTTTTTTTATACTACCAATTCCGTGCTTATAACAATGACCAAGATTATTTTGTGCAGCAGCATATCCTTGATCAGTGGCTTTCTGATACAATTTAATCGCTTCTTGAATATTTTGTTCTACTCCAATTCCATTCATATAACAATAACCAAGATAATACTGTGCTGCTCTGCAATTTTGTTTAACTGCTTCTTCATAAAAATTAATTGCCTTTTCAGTATTCTGTACCTTACCAACACCATATTGATAACAGTAACCAAGACTGCATTGTGCAGTAGCATATCCTTGACTAAATGCTCTTTCATAGAA